TACAAATTGAAAGTTTTAAAACAAAACATTAGGATTTATAAGAATGTTCGACTTAAAGTGAAGTTTAATCATTAAATGATTTTTAAATTGTCACAAAAAAACTTAATATTTCATTTAATTCCAAGAATCAATTGTAAAGCCTCGTTTGGTTCATTCTCATTCTGCTACTCATTTTCAACCACATATTCTTCAATAAAATAATATTTTCCATCACATCAATAACTTTTCCTTCTTTTTCAACCACAAATTCTCCATCAATTTACTATTCCAAAATACATTCTTCCAAAATAATGTGGCTCAAACACACCCTTAATTTGTACACAACTGCTCAATGATGGAATGATGCTGCGCATGTCAGAATCAAGCAGAAGNATGATTAATGTTTGAGCCTCTTATACAATAATGAGAATAGAATTTAACTGTTTGTTTGAACTCTTGTCTGTTTTGTTACTTAATAATATAAATCTTTAGTTCTTTAAATTTGTTTGTTGTTCTACTGTTCAGTTTTAAGTTAGCAATACGTTGCATAGTACACTGTTGGATTTTGCATTTGCATTGATTCTGGGGGGGGCCCAATTTTCGGAGTTCGCCTCGGGCCCCGAAAATCACAGAACCGGCCATGTTTTCAACCACACATTTTTCATCAATCTACTATTTCAAAATACATTCTTTTAAAATAATGTGGTTCAAACACACCATAAGTCTTGATCTTAGTCTCTCCTTTCGGTAAGAAATTGTCTTTTCATAACCAGATCGAATTAAAAATTAGGAAAAAAAGAAAATTTCTAAGATCATATTTGGAAGGGCTTAAAAGCTCATTATAAGCCATTCCAAACCTGCACTAATCATAGTTTCTATTTTCTAGAATATTTTTTTCTAATTTATTTTTTATATATATCTTACTTTCGTTATTATTAACGTTTTTCAAATATTTTAACATATTTTTATTAGTAATTCAACAAAATCGTTTTCATGGAAAAATGAAAAAACACGTCCGTGTAATGGGCCATAGATGTCAAGATAGAGACCAGTTGGGAATGTGTAATGTCACTGGCCCAAAAGAAAATTGGACCACAGTGACAGAGACAATACCCAAATGAAAAGTTAGATAATCTAGATATGATCCTCAAATGGGCTCTGCCGTTTTTGAAAGGGTACTTACAAAAATACCCTAAAAATTAAAGATGTTTTGAAAAATTATATAAAATGTTTTTAGGAAATAAAAAATACTATGTAAGATGAAAAAGTGATACAATATCACTTTTTTAAATAAAAATTGGCACTTTTTTTTTTTAAAAAGTGACACTTTCTCTCAAAAAGTGATATAAACTCAAAAAAGTGACAAATACCAAAATAGTATCATCCATTTGTGTAGCACAAGTAATCATGTTCTTAAAATAATCAGCACGTCCAGGTCAATCCACATGCTGATTATGTTAGGAAAATATAGCATATTATTTCATTTTTTTATCTTTTTAAAAAGTGACAAAAACTATAAAGGTGACCAAAAACTAAAAAAGTGACATACTTCAAAAAAGTGACGAATTCAAAAAAGTGCCACAAATTAAAAGAAGTTNAGTACCAGTAATCATGTTCTTAAAATAATCAGCACGTCCAGGCCAATTCACATGCTGATTATGTTAGGAAAATATAACATATTATTTCATTTTTTTTATCTTCTTAAAAAGTGACAAAAACTTAAAAGGTGACAAAAACCTAAAAAAGTGACAATTTTAAACAGTGACACAATGTCGCTTTTATAAAATTGACGAGCAATTTTGACATTCTTAGATGGTAATACATAAAATTAAGTAAGTGACAGTGTGACGCAATCTCACTTTTATTAAAAAAAATGATTTTGTTAGTAAAAAAAAGTGACAAAAAAACAAAAAAAGTAATAGAAAATAGTGACAAACACTATAAAAAGTGACTGAAACTCAAAAAAAAGTGACATAACTTGGAAAAAGTAGTAGCTAGTTAGCAAGAAGCAAAAAATGGAAAACAAATATTTCTCCTTTAGCTAGTTAGCCCAATAACCAGTGCAACCTTATCCCATTAGTTCCACTAAGTTCTCTTGCACCATATATCACATATGACAGATGTGATAACATCACAATTCAGCTGGGAAATCATAGAATTTGCAATAATTAATTGTCTGCTTAGTTTAAACTAAATTTATGCTTATGGTTCCAAATTCAAATCCTAGCCTCCCATCATTTTCCCAAAAAACAAGTAAATCCAGATAGTAGCCATTT